TCCTAACCATATTATTGTAGAAAATGTTACTGAAAGCATTTACGGTAGCAATTTAATTGAACACGATTTCCGTTAAACATTCATGTGAAGGATATCAATGCAGTTGTTTTAGAAAAACTGCCAGGCAGATCACGACAATATATAGTGTTGCTAGTATTATCCGAGAAGACGATACAACTGAAAATGCTGCTGATGATTTAGATTCCGCATGTCCACAAGACTTTTTAAATTCTTTGGATGCTCCAAGACTTCCTCCCCACATTCTTACACTAAAGATTGGTGCAGTTATCATTTTAACGAAGAATTTAGATCTAAAGAGAGGTTTATGTAACGGCACACGCTTATTGATTCATAATTTACACGAAAATTTTATAGAAGCAAAACGAGTAGAAGACCCTAATAATGAACCTTCGATCGAATTAATTTCCAGAGTTGACAACATCGCTCTAAACTCTCTTGATCTACCAGTCAACTTGAAAAGGAGACAATTACCTGTACGTTTGGCTTTTGCAATGACAATTAATAAAAGCCAAGGTCAAACTTTGAGCAGTGTATGAAATCTTTTTCTCATCGATAAGGGTACATCTTTATAACATAGCTTTCTGAAAAATCAGAGAACTACAGGGTGATTCTTAATGGTTGGGGGCAATCAATGTGCCCATTGATAATTTTGTGCAAGAAAAGTAAGGCAAATTCCATGCTGAATCTTTCAAAAGAAGTCATACCTTTCTAATGTGTTATATGAAAAAGACCAGTGTTATCAACAAAGATACCCCTCATATTACGAAATTTGATATTAAAAATATTATATACTCTGTATATTTCCAACTGAATATGTAAAGCATGGAGGTCTTTTCTACATTTTTTGCAGTTATAACTTGGGGACAAGTTAGAACAGCAATTTTTTTATATTACATAACCTTCGCTATGTGCACCAGTATAATTTTTATGTTGAATAACTGTTAATAATGCTTTAATATAACTACTATTAAAATCTATATTGTTCACATATGATGGGTGTTATAATATATATGTAGACATACTTTAACCATCGAATCCTTGGTCAATTTGATAACGAAATTTCCATAAGAACATGGATCCGCAACAGCTTTGTTTTCAACCTAAAGCATATTAGCACAAAGAAATATTGATGTTCTAAGAAATTATAAAAGAATGGAACATATTTGGTGTGGTGAATATCACATGATTACAGTTGTTTTCAGATCCTCCATGTACGTAGATACGGATAATGTTATCCAGTGTTTTTTGAAAAAATAGCATGACAGTGATTTGATTTAATCCCAATACTTTTCATATAATGACATTTGGGAATTAACTTTCAGAAACATAATTTTTCTTTTCATTATGTTGTATTTTCTAGGTTAGAAAAACCTATGACATTGACTTAACATCACAAAACAAAAAACATTTACACTGAAAAAGGAACAGTCCCGTGCTGTCCATAGGCGAACACGATTGATTTATGGCTAGAGATGGTCGATATATCGGTACCGGCGACCTTTCCCGGTGACTTCAATGGTCGCCGTTAGTCCCGGCGACCTGATTCTCCATGAAGCAGCGACCCAGATCGCTGTTTGGAAGTATCGGTAACCACTGATCGGTAGCTGTAACGCTGTTTCGGTCGCGGTCGCTGCCAGGAAGCATATACACATCACGTTCGCGATCATCGCGCGGAAGTACAGGGTCGCTACGGCGTAGCCTAACCTATTTTGTTAGTTTTATTGTTATTGTTGTGAGTTCCTGTTTCATAGAAAAATGTTTCGTTTATTAAGCAATGTTTAACATATAAAAGAAGCATTTTATACTACATTTGTTATGTTTTAAAAGTTTATTTTGACTGGTAAAACAGTATTTTGTTTTCCTTTTTAAGATTCATAGAAAGATATTTTATGTATTTTTATGATTTTATGTGTTTTGTGCTCAATATTGTTAAAAACAAAAACCTTAAATATAGTTTAATTCAAATCTTCAGGAACCTGAACATCTACACCTCGTTAATATCAATGGATAACCGCCGCCAAATATCGAGTAATGTAATCAGCGCCAGGGAGTCGCTGGCTGCTGGCAGCGACCATAGATAAGCAGTGACCTAAAGCGCTGCTAAATCTACCGGCGACTTTAAGGTCGCTGTCACCGATATCCCGGCGACTTCCAAGTCGCTGCTAATATCATCTCTATTTATGGCAGTCAAGCGCTATTTTTTTGGCACGTCACGTGATTGCCAGATATATAAGCAACGTTAAATCTGAGCTTATTATACAATTTTATAGAGGACATTAATACTGTATGCAAGATTTTATAACGCCATCTGTGTTATTAACGACAGATGCGACGTTGCCGGCTCCGCACATAAATCTGAGTATGTTATAAAATTTTATAGATGGTATTTTTAATGCTATATGGAAGATTTTATAACGCCATGTTAACTGACAACTCACAACAGATAATGTCAGATGTCAGATACCAGGTACCAGATAACAGATAACAGATCAAAGGTGATAAAGGATAGAATGATTAGAGATAGGGATAAAGTATATCATTAACATTGCATTAGCATACCAGCAACTGCGCTACGTGAGGTTTTAAATAAAGACATCAACATACAATATTTTGCATAGCGTTAGCATGCCAGCAACCGCGCGTCGACTATATTAAGCGGTGGTCGATTGTTTTTCGTAGAA